AATGAAAGTTCCCAGAATATATGTTATAGTTTAATATAAAGGTTTGCTTATAGATATACATTCATTATTTAAGATAAAACTTAGTTCCAAGTGTTATGATTTTTTTCTATTGAAAATTTTTTCATTGTTAAACCATTTGAGTATGGGACATGTAGAATTGTAACACCTCTCAGTGATTCATTCCGCTGCCAACTTCATTCCCTTTTCTCTGCCTGCATTTTAATTGAAACAACATTTATATTTTTGAGCCAGGATCTGTCAGAAGTCCCTATGGCTAGTCTGTGGTACAAGTAGCAGCAGACGTAGCTTACCCATATGGTGCGGTGCTTCCTGTAAAATCCATATGGCCTTGTTGAAGGGAATCCCAGCGGGATGTGAAGGGTGTTAATACCCTTCAGGCCAGGCCTTTCCCTCCTGGGGCTTCCGTGGCATTGTCAGTGCAATCTGCCAAAGCACAAACTTAATTCCTTTTTAATAATCAATTATTTTAGTCTAGGAACCTATGCTATTTTTCTTCAGGGGGAAAAAAAACCCAGCAAACTTTTTTTCCCCCTAGAAAATGTCTCAGCATTTTAACTGCACCTTTAAAAAACATTCTAAAGCTTCTTGTTTCTTCTTTTAATTTGCATTTGTAGGAAGTACTACAGAGCGTGCCAAAGTTCTGTTTCCCCTTTGACGTTGAAAGGTACGGTATGAGCCACTATTTAAAATAATTTTAGCTCATCTTAGTGCATATTCTAAAATGATTTCATGTGCTTTTTTTTGATAAAATGAAACATGTTTTCATTGTTTCTAGAGAAACAGTGGAGATTAGAAATTCAAAGTTAAATAATATTGGAACAAAGAAGCTTAATTATTATATCTTTTACTTTCTCCATTGTGGTGTGAGTTAGGAGAAATCTTAAAGCAGTATTGCCAATAGGTTGTATTTCTTCCATTTATTCTTCAGGTATACATTGTAAGCACTAGCAGAATAAAAGAAATGTCCTTGATCAGAGCCTTTGAATTGTGTCTTTTCAAATTAGGTGTATATGTTCTCGTTTCTATCTCACTTCATCCTAATTGAAAAGACCATCTGTATGATGTTGTAATACTCATGGCTAGTTGTCTCCCAAGTGTAGCTTCATAGAAACAGTACAGTATTATGGAAGACTCCAAAAACTTTTCTAGCAGTTTTTGAAATCTTTTGTTTGTATTTTACTGAACAAATATTGAATGAACTACGTGTATGTAGTGGGAATTTAATAGAGTTATATTCCTTTGAGCATGATAACAGATCATTTATTGTTTTTTATGTGCCTTTCACACCCTATTATCAGTTTTATTAAGTATGTGATGTGAAAAGTTTTAAGAAAAATTTATTTAAGGAAAATATTTTCCTAAGGATGAGTGAGACTATATTAAAGATAAAGTCCTTCTGATGATGGGATAATTGTTAATAAGTATTATTGATGAATGCTACTCCTTGTTTTACCTCATACCTGGGGACTCAGTTGTCCTCTCTCACTTCCCCAAAGTTAAAATTTTCAAATCAATAGGAAGAATGAAAAAAAAGGAACAAAAGTTGTAAAAGGATATCATAAACTTTGAGCACTAGAGGACACATTAGTCAGCAGAAGTTTTATTTGAAGAATATAAGTTTAAAAAAATTGCCCACTTTAATGTATGTTTCTTAAATATCCAGCACTTGAAATTCAGTATTTTCTGACAAAATAGTTGATAGTATTGGTCCATTGGTAATAATTTATTTTCTTTTCTACAATCACTAGGGCTGTTTTAGAACCAAAGTTAAGGAATAATGGATTTTTAAATTTTGGGACAGAGCATCAAATGTTCAATTAGTCATGTAATGTTAAGGTTATATCTAGTATCTGAAAGTATATTCATATATTTTAGTAGTAAGGATTTTATCTAATGGTTTATACTATTATTTAAACCCCAGTGTAACACATATTATAGTGTTATGATAGTAATTTGCTGAAATTATTTACAGCTTAGCAGTATGCTCCTTTGGAGACGCCATATTCTTATTTTTTACCTGAAAATTTATTCCTTGGTACATCGATAGCTCTAAAACACTGTTTGTTGTGATAGTTTATTGGTTGAGAATGTTAACAAAAAAGAAAACAATTTTTAAAGAGTGGGCGGTGGTTGCCCTTAGATTTTGGAGCAGTGTGATTTGCTGTATAAGCAATTAATATTGGATAAAGCAGACTGGGAAAATAGAGTTGAGCACAAGAACTCAGTCATCACATGTAGCTTCTTCTACAGTTTCAGCAATAGTTATTTCATAATTTACAAATATTTTCTGAGGACTTTTAGTCTTATGACAAGTTAGAACAAATTGTCTTATGATTTCCTGGTAAGGGATTAGCATATGCTCAATTTGTTCAGTCTATGAGGTATTACAATTTATCTTGATGTTTGACTCATGAGTGAGTTTACACATTTCACACTTATTCTAGTTTTAGAAAACAGTTCCAGCTTTAAGAACCAACTGATGGGAGATATGAAAAATTGTGCTCTATATGTGTAATAAGAATTGTAACGCATTCTACTTTCATATATAAATTTAAAAAAATAATTAAAAAAACCCAACTGATGGGATAGATGAAACCAATGCCACATATAGATATATTCTTGGCTTTGTCTTTCTTTTGGAAAATAAAAACACTGGGCTTACTGTTTCATACTTTTACTATATTTTAGGGTATCCCAAAATCAAGTTGGACAGCACTTTACCTTTGTACTGACAGACATTGAAAGTAAACAAAGATTTGGGTTCTGCAGACTCACATCAGGAGGCAAAATTTGTTTATGCATCCTTAGGTAAGTAATTGTAGTAGAAAAATTGATTGCAGGATAGACTAACTGTGTTATTCTTTATTTTGTTACGACAAAGCAAAAACAGTAAACCTCTTGTTTTTCTTAACTCTTTTTTTCTAAATCTGAATAAGTGGAACAATAATTTTTCTTACTTCCTACATACAAAATCAGTTATGTGTAAAGATTTACCAGTACCATAGTTAAATTTTTCTTCAAAGACCTTTACTTTTTTAAACATAAGGTTTTGTGGATTTATTTTTAAAAATTAAATACTAAATTAAATACAAATAATATGTGAGTTTCACATATTAAAGAGGATACAAAAAATTCAAGTAAACTAATGTGTACCCTTTTCTGTCATTGAATCACAACTTCAGAGTATGTGAGATGAATTGCTGTTTTAAAGCAAAGGTTGCAAAATTGTGATGGGGCAGAAGTTAAAGGTTTTTGTTCGGCCACTGGGTGTTTTAAAAATTTTAAAAGATGTTGTTAACCTTATAAATTTTAGGACGCTTTGTATAAAATTTATATTTCTAATTCCTTTTGAGAAATGGGAATATCTGCTAATTATAGTCCTTTACTCCCCAGTGGCAGCAATAAGCTGAAACTACATGTCAGATTTTTAGTTCTGTAATTATCTTGCTAGTTTCCATAGTTCTCACCTGTTCTGTCTCAATAACTTTCCTGATGGGCCTAGAGTTAGAGGTAGACTGTGTCTTTGGCCTGTGGACCTCAAATCTGAGTTGCTGGCTATTGAGGAGGAGGGGTTTTAAAGGCAAGCATTCCTGCAGTGTGTCCTCATGAATCAGAAATAAATTTGCATGTAGCATTTAAATTTAGTAAAGCCATCATTACTTCAGAATATTTACATAAAATATAAACTATGACTATTTGTTAAATGACTGTAACATGAGTACAGTCTCCATATCTGCATTCCAGTTTTCATTCATTTGTAGGAACAGATTCTAAAACACAGTAATCAAGTTATTTTTTTTTTTTTTTGTGGTTCTCAAACTTGTTTATGCAAAGAACACCTGAATGTTGAAATATTCTTTAAGTGTTAGGAGAAGTGTTATCGCCAAAAAAATGTTTACATAAATACAATAAAATATCAAAAGTTAAATCATATTTGTCAATCAAGATAACCTGTCACATAAGCATTGTTCATTATTTTATCTTTTATTAAAATTATTCCTTTTATATGTGATGACTTTTTTAGGTCATTTGACAGTGCTTTTTGGTAGATGTGAAATATATGTAAAAGCTCTATGAAAATAATCACAGAGAAAAATTTTAAATTGTGAAAATTCTATCCTCCTCCTTATTTTTTCTTTGTAAGTTAGGAAAATATTTCCTGTTTGACATTTTAATGGCATATCTTAATCTGTCTGAAAGTTAGCAGGCCTAGAGTGTCCTTTGAGAACAGTTATTTAGAGTAGTCAGATAATAAT